TTTTTTTTTTTTTTTTTTTTAAAAAAAAGCACACAGAGGGTGGTATGCATATGGAATGAGCTACCAGCAGAAGTGTGTCAGGTGGCTACATTAACAACATTTAAAAGGCATTTGGACAATGACATGGATGGGAAAGGTTTAGAAGGATATGGGCCAAGTACAGGGAAATGGGGTTAGTGTGGATGGACGGTTAGGTTGGCAGGGGCCAGTTTGGGCCAAAGGACCTGTCTCCATGCTGTTGGACTCTGACTCTAAAAGGTACTACTTCTGCATTGTCAAATAATCATACATTACTGTGATTACACAATCACACAACTATCTCTTTCCATTTACAAAAAAGATAAAGCAATATCACACTCATTAGATATTAGTTCAGCACATGAATAAAATCTTAACTGAAGGCATTCTCAAAGAGACAGATTCTAGGGAAGGAATTCCCAACCAACTAGCAACAATAATAATCAAATAAAATTGTGCTCAATTCGAGCAGTCAAGACAAATGATGTTTAGAATTTGTTTAAAATCTTTTTTTTAAAAAGCTACTTGATCCTAAATTTTGTCCACATAGAGAGTTAGAGAGATGTACAACACAGAAACAGACCCTTCAGGCCAACTCATCCATGCCAACCAGATATCCTAGATAAATCTAGTCCCATTTGCCAGCATTTGGCCTATATCCCTCCAAACCCCTCCTATTCATATGCCCATCCAGGTGCCTTTTAAGTGTTCTAATTGTACCAGCCTCCACCACATCCTCTGGCGGCTCATTCCATACACGCACCACCCTCTGTATGAAAACATTACCTCTCAGGTCCTTTTCAAGTCTTTCCCCTCTCACATTAAACCTATGCCCCCTAGTTTTGGACTCCCCACATCCCAGGGAAAAGACTGACTATTTACCCTATCCATGCTCCTCATGATTTTATAAACCTCTATAAAAAGGTCAACCTCAGCCTTCAACACTCCAGGGAAATAACCCTAGTCTATTCAGCCGTTCCTTGTAGCTCAAATCCTCCAATCCTGGCAACATTCTTGTAAATCTTTTATGAACCCTTTCAAGTTTCACCACATCCTTCCTATAGCAGGGAGACCAGAATTGCATGCAGTATTCCAAAAAAAATCCCATACAGCCGCAACATGACCTCCCAACTCCTATACCTCAATACGCTAACCAACAAAGACAAACATACTAAATCCTCAGAACAGTTCTGAGGAAGGGTCACCAGACCCAAAACGTTAACTGTTTTCTCCTCCACATATGCTGCCAGACCTGCTGAGCTTTTCCAGCAACTTTGTTTTTGTATACTAAATGTCACCTTCACTGCCCTATCTATCTGGGACTCTACTTTCAAGAAACTATGAACCTGCACTCCAAAAGGTTTTTGTTCAGCAACACTCCCCAGGACCTGACCATTAAGAGTATAAGTCCTGCCCTGGTTTGCTTTTCCAAAATGCAGCACCTCATTTTATTTAAATTAAACTCCATTTGCCACTCCTCAGCCCATTGGTCCACCTGATCAAGATCCCGTTTTTCTTAGCTGTCCACTACACCTCCAATTTTGGTGTCATTTGCAAACTTACTAACCATACCTCCTATGTTCACATCCAAATCATTTATATAAATGACAAAAAGCAGTGGACCCAGCACTTGTGGCACACCGCTGGTCACAGGCCTCCAGTCTGAAAAGCAACCCCCTATGATGCTGCTTGGCCTGCTGCGTTCATCCAGCTCTGCACCTTGTTGTCTCAGATTTTCCAGCATCTGCAGTTCCTACTATCTCCTCTACCACCATCCTCTGCCTTTGAGCCAGTTTTGTATCAAAATAGCTAGTTCTCCCTGTATTCCATGTGATCTAACCTTGCTAACCAGTCTACTATAAGGAACCTTGTCAAACACCTTACTGAGGTCCATATAGATCACATCCAGTGCTCTGCCCTCATCAATCCTCTTTGTTACTTCAAGAAACTCAAAATCAAGTTCAAAAGAAACAATTTCCCATGCACAAAGCCATGTTGACTATCCCTTTTCAGTCATTGCCTTTCCAAATGCATGTCAATCCCATCCCTCAGGATTCCATCCAGCGACTTGCCCACCACTGACGTTAGGTTCGTTGGTCTATAGTTTCCTGGCTTTTCTTTACCACCTTTCTTAAATAGTGGCATCACGTTAGCCAACCTCCAGTCTTCCGGCACCTCACCTGTGTCTTTTGATGATACAGATATCTCAGTAAAAGGCCCAGCAATCTCTTCCCTAGCTTCCGAAAGAGTTCCGGGGCACACCTGAACAGGTCCCAGAGATTTATCCACCTTTACGCAGTTAAGATATCCAGCACCAACTCTTCCGTAATATGGACATTTTTCAAGAGGTCACTATTTATTTTCCTACGTTCTCTATTTTCCTATGTTCTCTATTTTCCATACCCTTCTCCACAGTAAATACTGATGCAAAATACTCGTTTAGTATCTCCCTGTACAAATAACATCTACAATCTATAATTATAAAACATGAACCTAGAATGGACACCTTAGCATGAGAATTTGGAATTCAGTGTTGAAAATGAACAAGACTCTAAAGATTCATTGATGGAATGCAAATTCTGGTTAATATTCCAAAAATAGAAGAAATCAGAAAAAATTCTGAAGGAAGGGCTTATTTACAGGGGTTGATTGATGAAGGCTGCATAAGTAAAAAGAAGCTCTAGTAGTGAATATTTACCCACTTCAGATTAAGGAAAGATCTTATTCTTTATATGTAAAGGATATCAAAAACAAAAATAAAACAAAAAATTGACTACATGTTGCTAACAGAAACATATATCTTTGTAAATAATACAATGGAAACCAGTCAACACCAGCTGGGAATGTATTTCAGTGGGTGTGGAACTGCAAATCAGCTCCTTCCTGACACAGATATTACCTCAACAGAAGGTTTTCTAAGATTACAAAGGGATCTTGATCAAATGGACCAACGGGCTGAAAAATGGCAAATGGAGTTCAATCTGGATAAATGCGAGGTATTACATTTTAAGACAACAAACAAAGGTATAGCTTATACAATTAATGGTAGAGCCTTGGGTAGTGTTGTAGAACAGAGTGACCTAGGGGTGCAGGTACATAATTGTTTGAAGTTTACATCACATATAGACAGGGTGATTAAAAAGACATTTGGCACACTTGCCTTTAATGCTCAGTCTTTTGAGTATAGGGGTAGGGAAGTCATGCTGTGGTTGTACAAGACATTGGTGAGGCCTCCTTCTGGAATACTGCGTCCAGTTTTGGTCGCCCAGTTATAGGAAGGATATTATCAAGCTGGAGAGAGTTCAGAACAGATTCACCAGGATGTTGCCAGGTATGCAAGATTTGAGTCATAAGGAAAGGCTGGATGGGCTGGGACTTTTTTCATTGGAGCGTAGCAGGTTGAGAGGTGACCCAATAGAAGTTTATAAAATGAGAGGTTTAGATAGAGTTAATGGTGGTTGCTTTTTCCCTAGGATAGGGGATTTCAAGACTAGGGGACACATTTTTAAAAAAAGGAGAGAGAAGAGAGATTTAAAAACAAAAAGAGGCAAACGTTTTACACAAAGAATGGTCATGTGTGGAATGAGAGATAGTAGGAACTGCAGATGCTGGAAAATCTGAGATAACAAGGTGTAGAGCTGGATGAACACAGCAGGCCAAGCAGCATCAGAGGAGCAGGAAGGCTGACGTTTCGGGCCAAGACCCTTCATCAGAATGAACTGCCAGACAAAGAGGTTGATGCAGGTACAATTATAACATTTAAGACACATTTGAATGGATAAACGAATAGGAAAGGTTTACAGGGATATGGGCCAGGAGCAGGCAGGTGGGACTAGTTCAGTTTAGGATTATGTTCAGCATGGACTCATTGGACTGAAGGGTCTGTTTTTGTGCTGTATGACTATATCCTTGAAGTATCAGAAAATGTAGTAAAGTGCCAATTCTCTAAGTTCCACTGATGCATCTCTACTCACCATTTACACACACAGTATATTCAAAAAAAAAATTGTTTACTGACCATTAAATGCCTCGTCAGTTATAGAGTTCAGAAGATAGCATTATTTACCAAAATAACTCAACATCTTGCTGTGAAATTGAAAAAGATCCCAGCATTTCAGAGCTAAACACAAAAACAGTAAAATAAAAATAATAGTTTTATTAGTTTCACTTTGAAACTGAATGGAATTCAAAATCTTGAATATTTCTTACTTCTTGTCCCAAAACTACAAATGAGCAGAGCTATGCTGATTAGAATAATTAATCTTAAAAAAAGTAAATACAGAGAGTGTGACTTTAAAAAAAATCTAAATGTCATTTTCTTTTAGAGTCAGTGACTAAAGTTAGTCTTTACAAGTAAACACCCAAATAAAGTGGGAATTCTGGGCCAATACTGTGTTTATTAAAATAAAATTCAAGTTACTGTGTCTTTACCAGAGAAATAAAAAGATTTTTTTTCCCCCACTTACAAATGGCATTGTAGAACAGCCTAGAGACTAGGACACTTCATATTTTAACATAATTAATTTTTGTGTTATTACACATGTATAAATTGATGGGGCAGTTCAGAAAATCAGTATTATACATTTTAAATTACCCAATAATACTACCTTTTTTCCCCACACAACTTACTTCAGAATACATCAGCAATTTGAAATACTAACACAAATAGATCTAGTTTTTTTTATTATTAGCCTTCCTTTGCTCTGCTTCTTTTGGTAAATCTTGGCAATTAATTTCCTCCATTCTTCTAAGTACATCACTGTGTTTGCTCTAATTCATGCTCCTTTTCCATTAGATTAACCAGGAGTGTTTGTGTATTTAACATCTCACTGTGAACCTAAAACAACAACAAAATCACAAATTAACGTCACATATTCAGTTAGCTTTTACAAAAGCGTCACTGGAACAAGACTGTGGTGTGGGTATGCACCCATTTCTTGATCCTTTCATTAATTCAGAGTTGATTTAATCAGGTGCCTCTTTATTTTTAGATAAAAGAAATAATTCAATTGAACTACTTAACAATGGAACGTGGGGAGGCTGTGAAAGATTCTTTTCTAAATTATTAATGACTAGTACCAAAAGAAAAAAAAAAGTGAACCAACTCATTCAAATTAAAAGAACACATTTCTATTTAAAGGCGTTATCAGAATTTAGCTTGGATAAAAACTATTTTTATTGTTTTACCTACAGTATACCCTGGTTTCAAAGTCAACTTTTTCAGCCCAGCTGATAGTTGCCCTGGCAAGATGATTAAGCTGCTTTTGATTCCCAGCTTTATGGAGATATTTTCGATTGCTTGGATAAGTGGTCAGCTAGAACAACAAGATTCTTGTTCAGTGTCACCTCCTGGGACACACGGAACAATGAAATATCCCCCTCCTCCTGAGTATAACTGCCATAACTTGCAAACAGATTCACAGCTTGTGGCTGGTTTCACGGTTAAAAAAAAACAAATCGCAAGCTGTGGAACTGGGTGCAATGTGACTCAGGAAAGGATGTTAGGAAAGGGAGTAAAACTGGAGGTAGTTCCAGAGACCAGGAATTGTGTGGATTTGAAACTTTCTTTGCAAAAGAAAAACTAATTTCCTTAACAGTGGAAGACAGCAATTTTAAACTCCAAAAACAGCTTCCCTATCTACTCTGTCCAATGCTGTTTGAAGTATTAGTGTGTAGGCATGAATCTTCAGTTTAATAGTCACTACATTTCACTAAATAAACCAGCCCCAAAAAAACAAACTAAGCTGTGCAGAATAAATACCCACTGTTCGCAAAGAGCAGAAGCTCATTTTGACTTGATATCTAAATTAAACTATACAAACCAATAAAACTGCACGGTCCAGTGGAAAGTTGTGCAGTGTATGAAGCTTATTTTTGGAAGGAAGATGAATATTCAGTATCAAATGGTCAATTGTTCTGTTACAGTTTCCATTCCCTGCACACTGTTACAGATGGACTGAGTAACAGCAAAAACAAGGAGAGGTATCCCTAAAACTGGGAGTTACACTAGCAGCTGTGGGTGATCTAATGATATCAAGGATAGCTGCCATGCACTGACTTCATTCCTTGTAGCAACAGCATTGGTGGATGGAACCTGCTACAGAGATTCTAAATGCAATTACTTTAATATTAGCCTTAATTGTAATATATAGTACTATATATTCTGTCTACATATCAGCTCAAAGACGTTTGACTCAGACCATACTGGCAGATATGCTTGACCTATTCACTATTTACTGAACTCTACTTGTTCCAACAGAAATGAATTCTGGAATTTCCAAAGAAATCTAACTTTTGAGGAGGTAGATGGAAGCATGGAATTTGGAACACAAATATATTAGTCATATCGAATAAAATTTCCAACTTATAAGATTGGCGGCCCAAATGGGAAAAAAGACTGTCAGTATTTGGTTGAGGTCCATATGCATGCTGAGAACAGCTCAACTAGAACTTTGAACTAAACAAGGCTGAATGACAATGTCCTTAGCTCACCAAGTTGGCAAGGTGAAGGAGAGACAGCAAAACACTAGCTGACCTCCTATGGAAATGCTCACAGTTGTTCGAGTGTCGGGAGCATTGCAGCGATGTTTAGCTTCAAACTTTGCTGGTCACTGCTCTTAAACGGTGACCTGCATCAGAAAGCAGCTATTCTGGAGGGAAACCAATCTAAATCGGTTGCAAGCTTCAGGCTGAATGTTTTATATTTGTAATATACTGATAGTTTGAAATATGATATGGAATGGATGTTGTGCAAAATTAGCATGGAACTTCATTATATGCAAAGGGACAGCTTTATATTGTTTAATTTGAAGATTATCACCCAAAAGAAATTGGATGAAATCATAAATATTTGATTCAGTCTCCTAGCTATTCAAAGATAAACAAAATTGAGCTTTAAATTCTAAGAGAAAATACAGTTTGTTACAATCAGAATATTACAACCTTGAAGGAAGCCATTCTGCCTGCTGTGACAATGCTAGCACTGGAAATGAACTCTGTAACATTGTCTTTCACTGAATGTGCTCATGACATTTAAGTTAATCTTCTGTCTTCAAATACACGTCCAATCACCTATTGATACTTCCAATAGAATCTGCATCTACCGACATATTAGGTAATGTGTAGATCATTCGGCTTTGAGTCCACTCCACCATTCGATATGACTAATGTGTTTGTGTTCCAAATTCCATGCTTCCATCTACCTCCTCTAATAAGTTAGATTTCTTTGGAAAGTCCAGAATTCCTAGGAAATGAATCCACTGATGTTTTTAAAAAAACTCAAACATCTTTTGAGGCAGAATGTTCCAAATGCACACACAATTCAGGATAAATTTCCCTTCGTTTCTGTCCTGAAAGGCTAACACCTAATTTTGGACTCACCCACAAGAGGAAACATCCATATACACCTTGTCAAGGCCATTCAGGATTGTATACACTGCAAGCAGGCCACCCCAGTCTTCTACACTCCAGTGGAAACAAGGTGAATTCTGAAGAGGAGTCACTGGACTGAAACGTTAACTCTTCTTTCTCTCCACAGATGCTGCCAGACTTGCTGAACTTCTCCAGCTATTTCTGTTTTTGATCCTTACTTTCATGTTCAATTCCATAGTAAAGGATAACATTCCATTAGCCTTGTTGATTACTTGCTGTACCTTAGTAATGTTCAGTCACTTACTAAAACATGTAAATCTCTGTGCCCCACTGAATTCCAGTCATTCTATGGACAGGCTTTGGGGGAATGAAGTGGCGAGTTACTTACTGCACAACTCCCGGTCTTAGGCAGGTTAGTGTAGACACAATATTTAATATAATTATTATCTCTGATAATAATCCTTGTTATCTCAGATTCTCCAGCATCGGCAGTTCCTACTATCTCTATCTAATGTAATTAGTTCATTTAGGTTTCTGTCAATGGTGATTCCCAGATTGAGTGAGCGGTGGTAATGCAATTGAATGTCAAAGGAAGAGGTTGAATTCGTTGTTGGAGACAGCAATCATTGGGATTTCTTGGCAAACAAAACCCCCTGGTGAGCTCAGGGTGAAACCAATGAGTTCTTTTGAAAGGGTGATTGAAAGAAACATCAAGATTTCCTAAGCAAGCTGCATGCGAAAAGTTAGAGGCACCCATGCATTAGTGAACTGACTACACCTGCCAGACAGAGTACTGACCTCTGCAAAACTATGCTTCATCTACTTGCCTTCAAAATAACTCATTTGCCAAAATGCTTTTCTTACATACAAAGAATCTCAAAATTTGCAGATAACGCAAAACTAGGTGCAAGGGTGAGTTGTGAGCAGGATACAGAGATTTTGCAGCAAAGAAGACTGAGGGGAGACATAATTTAGATGTATAAAATTATGATAGAAAAGAGGAGACTTTTCCCCTTAATGGAGGGATCAGTGACCAGGGGCTTGTTTTGCCAAGTTTTGTTTTGATAATAAACCAATAATTGTGTTTATTTGGTGACAGATATTGTTTAAAACACAAGTATCATACTTCATTGATCATCTTGATAAAATAAAAATACTATTTCCAGTTATATTGTGACCATTGAGCAGTGGGACCAAAGTGACAGTGCATTCCTCCAGCCTCAGTCAGAACCATTCACATGGTGTTTGGCTTTGGAGCATGTGAGATATTAAATTTCCAAGACACCTCAGCAATTCAGAAAGCAGATATTTCTTTGTCTGGCACATCAAGTTGGTTTCAGGTTGGTGAATCCTCATAGTGGCAGCATTAAAGGCACACAGTCAATGTTAATAGATATTTTGGGGGCACAGGTGACAGGTCAGAATTATGCCGATTATGAACAAATGAGAGGACCTCCATGAAAGTTTCAGATTCAGGGCTTTTCCCACCTATGATTGGGGCTCACTTATACTACAGGTGGATGGTAGACAAAGTCAACTGCTGCTATCATATAGTACACTATCAAAGCTATAACAGCTAATTTATGTAAATGTACACTCTTATTACATGATGAGTGGCAAAACCTGCTGCACCTTTTTACCATGCTGTGAAAGAGAACAAATAAAGGACAGACAGTTTACATCTTCTGATTAGGATTCCCAGTCCCGATTACCAACCAATGATGTCTGCTGGGGTATCACAGCCAAGCTAGCTCTTGTTCCAGGATTCAAATATGGTGCAGAAACTTAAAAGTGGCTTAATGCAAATGCACTCCCAAGTCAATATTTATAGAGGAGGAAAAGAGAAGATTTTAAGAAAAATTTCATCCTCAGATTAACCATGTAGATCAATGATGTTCATGATTGGAGAACCCACCAGGCAGAAGCATGGGTGTTTTGTTTTCACAAATGGCAGGAGAAAGAGGAGGATTTGTTTTATTTTTGTTCCTTTAGTGATAATTGCACAAGGATAGAAAATTAGAAGCAATTGCTGCACAGTGGAACTGGAAATTGTACTAATGTCTTTTTCTGAAGGAATGCACGTAAAAACATGAACTCATTTTTGAAGGACTTATCAAAAATAGCAAAAACCAGTAATAAAGTAATCAAAAAAGGTACAAGAGGGAAAATTCTTAGATACACCACGACATGGAGTAGTATAATTAATAATATATAGGCTAAGATCTACACAATAGTCAATGGGACAAAGACAGTGGATGTGGATAGCTGGGGAATTCACACTGTGTCTGGAACTGCTGGCAATTCCCCAATTTTTATTTACTCTTTTTCAGAACATCAGCACTGCTGGCTGGGTCAGCATTTATTGTCCATCCAAACTGCCCTGGAGAAGGTGGTGGAGAGTTGCTTTCTTGAACTATCACAATCCATGTGGTGCAGGTGTACCGCCTTTAATAAAAAAAACTTGTAGTTGTTTGATACAGTCACATGGCATACCAGGCCATTTCAGAGATCATTTTGGGATCTAATGTAGAGGTGCCGGTGTTGGACTAGGGTGTAAAGACCATGTCTTTTTATTTTCCCTGTACTTTTAATTATAGATTAAAATGAGAAAACAACAATTTTAACCCCCATGAGCATCAGTGGATTGCTGCATGTTTTGAAACAAGTAACCTGACGCTCATTGAAAGCACTGTTTTACACAGCTGCTGGTTCTAGCAGTCATTAAAGTGCAGTTTGTAGACCAGTTGGAACTGAGCTGGGTTCTGTACAAATGAAGTTTTCATGTTGGCAACAAGTAGCTGATTGGTCTGTGGATGAATGACCAGTTATTAATAATAAAGGCCTTCTGCCATTCAACAACTATGTGATTGGTTCTCAGCTAGCGAAACACCTTAGGGCTATGAGCAATATACAGAGAAGTGATCAGATCTCTACCAGTTCAGGAGCTGGGCATCTGTTCTCTGCAGCAAACCCTACTTTAAGTTCAAAGAAATACAGTTTACTTTTGGTTCACCAGTTGCTGTAAACTGGAACTTATAATTATAAGACGGTGACCTTTCTCTAAGTGTGAGCAAGCTACCCTTTGTCTCCTGCGAACTAGTGAGTGCAGATGGAGAAGGAAGGCCATGAAGCAGTATTCTGGTCAACATAAGAACTACCTCAGAAGATCATGTGAACAGAGACCACCGAGCTGCCCATCCAGTTTTCCCTCCATCCATAATCCCAAAGTTTTCCTTTCCTCCCACTGTCTGCGTGTGCACACACACACACACACACACACACGTGTATACATTCACACAAGAGGAATTTTATAAGGGGACAAGAGTTTTAACTAGTAGAGCTATATGTCAACTCTTCCTAATTGTTTATATGTAGCTAGAGTCTATTTACTTGTAATAAATAGTAGTTCTTGTTAAGTAGAGAAAGATGGTCCATGGTTTCTGTCAACCTAGATCAGAAAAATCAGGTAAGTTGGAGAATAGTATGTAGTTTTTTAAATCTTTAACTTTTGTGATAACTCCAGGAACAGGAGGACTTGTTTCTCAGCACATTACCCCAGTGAGGTATAACAGGATTTATTTTAGACTTTAAATACCATCAGCTGCTATGGTAGGATAGAACTAGCCAAGAACATTACCCTGGGCCTATATACTACTACTTCACACTAGTTTACTAGTATTATGTTACACTACACCATCTTCTCACTCCAATTCCCAGTAAAATTTTGTATCCAGGTTTGTCAGCATAATTCTAATTCTTAAAATATTTCCAGTTTTGAAATGATTATCAGACACCTTGCAGAGACCAAAGAGCTGAATTTTAAAGCTATGGCTCACACTGGTGATACAATTCATTGGTTTGAACAATTACATTGTTGCTGATCTCCCATGTTGCTGACATGGAGAAGGTTTTAGTACTTTCACAGAACAGGTAAAAGAGACAGATTTCTCTCACTAATGCTCTACATTAAGCTGGATGCCAAAAAACTGATGCTGTTTTCAACTGCTACTGGTGCTAGGAGCAGAAGTGTAATTCTCCATTTCAAAAATCTGCTTTCAGACAAAACTGGAAGCAAGGCAGGCTTTACAAAAACTGTTTGATGCTGGCTCTGGAATCCTCATCACAACCAAGGACCTCTTCATCTACCCATTGGGAGCCCAATTACACTAGTAACTGTTGGGGGCCTAAACAAAACACTGCACTGCAATTGACCTGACCACAGAACTACAATATAGGGCCAGTTTTGTTCTGCTCCAATTTTACCAATCCTACAAGATCACCCCAGGAGTTTTAGTATTCACAGTCAAATATGATGAACACAACAACAACAACAACAACAAAAAAAAAAAAAAAAAAAAAAAAAAAAAAAAAAAAAAAAAAAAAAATTGATCCTTTGTTCACAATCCTGCCCACAATTAACAGTTTCAAAGACCTGAAGGGAAGTTTATGAGAACTGTTTCATAACTGAAGTTATGGTGCTGGTGGATACGACCCTTTCCTTTACCAAACCCGGTTTTCAAAACTGAAGAAATACATGGAACATCACTGAAATGTGCTCTCTCTGTATGCAATAATTGCCAGGTTGTCAACAGTCCATTGATTCAAGGATGACACTTTTAGGGTTTCTGCAAGGAGTCCTTGTAAGTGAACAGACAGATCTTTGGGCAAAGGGGACAGAACATCTCAGGAAATGGTGGGACCTGGATGTGCAACATTTGCTTCTCTTTCCATGTCTTAATGTATCACCACAAATAACAAACACTTCCAGAGATTGCTTATATTGATATAGTATCTCACACATTGACGTGCAAGACAACATTGGCAGTATTTAACTGAGGAAAACATTACTGGCAGCAGGTACTCAAAAAGTAGCATGACATGAGTCTTGATAGAGAAAATGATGATTAGAGGAAACAATGTATGCAGCACAGCAGTTGGATTCCAGCCAACATGGCACCATGGGATAATGGCAGAAAGGAACTAGCTTTGGAGTGCTTCAGATAATTAATAAAGGAAACAGCTTCTCAGATCTGACGCGATCCAAGATTATGCCTCAGTGTGAAAAAGCTACCTTCTTTCTTACCTCAATTTCTGTGGTGTCTGCATGATTTTCAATTATCTCCACATACTGCCTCTTCATCAATGGTTCCTCAGTAACCACTGTCTCTTCAGCAATGTCAGTTGCTGGAACAGTCAGAACTAGAACACAGAAAAAGATTACAAAGGGAGAAAGAAAACTTCAGAAACCGCGTGCAAAAATATTAGCACTTAACTTCCTATGTTTTAAATAGTTGTACGTTCAGCTGAACTGAACCTTACATGCTTTGTATACTGAAGTGTTTGATGTGCAGAGTGATCTCTGACAAAATTATCTGAAACATTCGAGTGTATTTTTCGGTAATCAGTAAGTGTAGCCATACAATGAACTGCAAGTTCTCAAATTCAGTGTGTAACAGTGATTGTGCTCCACCTGTTCAACTATCTGGGAATGTCCAGCATTTAATATTACCTTGTACATATAACCAAAGAAAGAATACTGGAAAATAAACAATCAGCTTTTGCTCAGACTAGTACTTATCATACAATCCCTACAGTGTGGGGGAGACCATTTAGCCCATTAAGTCTGCACCAACCCTTTGAAGAACATCCCACCCAGATCCACTCCCACAACTCCTTGGGGAGGGGGAGTGGTTTACCATAGCTAATCTCCCTAGCCTGCACATTCTAGATACTTTGGGACAATTTACCATTTCCAATCTACCTAACCGCCATATCTTTGGACTGTGGAGGAAATCAGAGCACTATGCGGAAGTGGGGCAAACATACAAACTCTACACAGTCATCCAAGGCTGCAACTGAACCCAGGTCCCTGGCCCTGTAAGGCAGCAATGCTAACTACGGAGCGACTGCGCAGCCTTAATCAATCCATGATTTACTCACCTTGTTGTCCATCTTGCATTGTGACGATGATTGGTTGATTCATGCCATCACTGGCTGCCTGTAAGTTGCTCAGTTGAACATCATCAGTAACAATGGTAATCACCTGCTGACCTCCACTGCTGACAACTTGTTGAATTGCACTATCCACCGAGTCTGCTGTCACTACTTCTTCTGTGGCAACTGCTGAAGTAAAGCAAAAAATAATATTGATTTATAATCCCAAATTTTAGAAACTGATGCTTCCCACCTGGAGATTTCAGGAAACAATAGTCAAAACCTAGCAATTCTTTTGATCAAGTTGAAAGACTACCAACTGATCTGTCAAGATGTGAAGACTGTGTTTAAAAGTATTCACCAGGAATTATAGAAGGAGAGCCACAGACTGACTAGAATACTGCTATTATGACAAAAATGTTAATTTTATATGTAGAATTTTAAAAAAAAACTAGGGGGCAATGGGTCAACAGGCCCAACTAAACACACAGCTGTACGAAGTTATCACTGTTTGGAAAGATTTTAAAACTAGGAGCACCATACAAGTTCATCAATAAAAGTTAAATGGCACTTCAACCGCTGCACATCCTGTCCATCAAGGGTCAACTTTTTTCAGCATTGGGGCCAAGATTGCATAGTTTATTTAAGTTAACAGAGACTGTCCACCAGTTCACTTTAACATTACACACCATTCAACAGAATAACGAGACTGAGAAGGCAATGGGTTCAAACCAAACTACTAGCCAAAGCACCAAGCAAAACAAAAAAGGATAGTCAAGCTGATGTTGCCTCTATATTTTGATCTTTCAAAATATTTCACCCTAGAATTGGAAGGAGAGTTAAAACAAAAACAACCTATCACTACATAAAAATATCAATATGAACCCAAAAGGCATAAAAATGCGAAATAAAAAAATAACAATTGCTTCGAGAATTATCATCCCCTTTAAGAACGCACAAATGACTAAATCTCAACTCATCTAGAAAACTGGGTAGTGCTAGAAATGACTTGTCACCTATCAAAGTTTAAAATTAATATCAAACATATCAAAACATCATCTGAATTATTTCAAGTAGCTGAATTAAACAACTTCTACATTGAAGTTTATTTCAGATACAACTGCTAAGCTCTTGAATAGGAGATGATCACACATTTCTTTCCAAGGTTGCAATACATAAAGATTAATAGTTTATTAGCGGCACTAAGCTAACACTCTGGGGGAATGTGATTCAAAAATGAGTCATACTGGATTTGAAACGTTAATTCAGTTTAACATAATTGCTATTAACAAACACCTTCAACAAGACAGAATCTAACCATCACCCATATCGCTGAATCTCCCACTACTGAAGAGATTTTATCTTTTTACTTTTCTGTATTACTGGTTGTGGACTGAGATGGGAAAGGCACTGTTCTTAAAACAAAGACATGCTGCATTTTTTTAAAAAGCGAGCACAGGACACTCATTGCAAGTACTGTTGACACAACTGTTTATTCAAGCAGTAGTGGAATCCTGGTCACTGATGAGCTGGAGCCAGGAGACTGTGTGTGAATGGAGCTTTGGCCGGGATGAAACAAGAATGGCAACTGGTCATTAGTCCACAAATCAATGACAATGGCCTACTCTATGCTAAGAATTGAGCGGCTCCCAGATGGCTGAATAGCTTGGGAGTGAGAATGATTGGAGTAGCCAGAGCTCCACAAGAGCAGGAGCTGACCCTTTTTTCTGCCGTAGGGAAAAAGTAACTAAGTTTGAAGAAAGCCAATTTATTTTTCTATCAGCAGTTGCTGTAAGCTATGCCTCTTAACTAGTAAGCCAGAGATTTTAAAAGTGTGAACCAACCGCCCTGTAGCTTCTGCAAGTAAGTGAAAGTAGTGAAAGAGAATCATGGAGTAGCACATACCCTGATTTGCCAAAAGGACCATTTCAACAAACGTCTGCCCAGCCTTTCCCTCTGGCCATCATACCACACCCACCCCTCCCTCACCCCCGATTTTTCATTTCCTACCTGTGGCTGTCTCTATGTGCGTATGGGTGGAATTTATAAAGGGAGTTAGCGTTTTAAAACAGTTATACATCAACAGTTCATAACTATTTAAGTAGTACTGGAATCCATGTATTTGTAATAAGTAGTCAGTCAGTCAGTCATTCTTGTTAAGTACAAAAACTTGGTTTGTGCTTTGCCAATCTTTGAAAGTGAGGTAAATTGGAGAATTTTGCACATGTGCAAGAATTTTAATTTTTGTGACTGCTCTAGTAAGGCTTGATTTCCAGCATCTTGCGCCAGTGATGCATAATACTATTGACATTCTGGAGTATACCACCGATCAGAAACTGAACTGGACCAGCCTTACAATATTTTGCTTACAAGAGGCGGAGTTCAGAGCCAAGAATTTCTGCAACAAATAACTCACCTCTTGCCTCTCTAATGTCTGTTCAGAATCTACAGAGCCAAAGTCAGGAGTGTGATGGAATTCTCTCCACTTGCCTGGATGGATTCAGGTCCAGCAACACAACTGCGACACCATCCAGGATAAAGCAGCCCACATTATTGGCATCACATCTAGAAGTATTCTCCCCACCCACCACCAACGTGTACCATCTACAAAGTACACCATAGCAAATCACTCAGTAGCTCTTTCCAAACCTGCAACCTCTACCACCTAGGAGGTAGCAGATACGAGGGAACTCCACCATCTGCAAGTGCCCCTATAAGCCAGGCATCTGCCCGACTCGGGAATATATCACTGTTCCTTCGATCTAGTAAGTCATTTTCTAACCGCACTCTGGGTGTAGATACACCCCAGGACTGCAATGGTTCACGCCCACCTTCTCAAGGGCAATTAGGAATAGGTATTCTGAAATAGTAACATCCACATCCCCTGAACAAACGAAAAACAATTGTTATCCAAATAGGTCATAAACTGGTCTGCATTCAGATGTTAAAAATATTACCTCTTCTAAACTTTAAAACTTCAAAATGTTGGTGTCAGGTGGAGGCTATTCATTAGTGGAAAATTACTACCCATCTTTTAGAATATCAATCATAGTTTGGGTTTTAATTTTCTTTTATGCTACAATATATTAAATTTTTAAAATTGAACATTTTAGTCCAACAGTATCATTGAAATTTTAGTTACAAAGACAAATGTGTTTTCCCTTAGAGTTTGCACTATTAACAACCTTTCAGCTGATATTTCTGAACAAGAATGAACAGGACTAGGCCCTTTCGACCTTCTAGCCCATGCCATATTTAACAAGATCACAGCTGCTCTGAGGCCTAAACTCCTATCCTGTCTAGCCCCTATAACTCTTGAATCCTTAGTTTATGAAAAGTCTATCCAACTCTGCCTTGAAAAAAAATTCAATGATACACCCTCCACTACTTTCTGGGAAAGAGAATTCCACAGATTAACAACCCTCATTTTTTTTTCCCCCTTTATCTTCATCTTAAAACGGTGGCCGCTTATTTGTAAACAGTGCCCACCACAAGACAGGACATCCTCTTAGCATCCACTCCATCAAGTCTCCTCTTATATTTCAATAAAATCAGCTCTCATTCTTTTAGACTCCCATGGGCACAGGCCCGGTCTAACTTTTTAATCATAGGATAATCACTTCATTCCAGAAAATGATAGAAGTGAACCTTCTGAGTGTCTGAGAAAGGACATAATTATGTTAGAATCAAAAGGAATTCAGATGCAGTTGCAGCAAGGCCCTGTCCATCTGCAATAATCCTTCCCTGCATTCACATTCTCTTTGCAAAGAACCATAACATTCCATTTGCTTTCCAAACAACGTGCTGTTGCTGCAGACTAACTTTTTGCAATTCATGTACAGGACATCCAGGTTTCTGCATACCAAAGTTGTGCAATCTCTCTCCATTTAAATCAACTGTTCTATTCTTCCTGCCAAAGTGGACAACTTCACATATTCCCCACATTAAACACCATCTACCAATTTTTTTGTTGATTTACTTAACCTATGTACATTCCTTTGCACACTCTCTACCTCCTCCCAACAACTTACTTTCCTACACCTCCTTGGTATCACCAGGAAGTTTAGCTACCAAACATTTGGTCCCTGCACCCATCACCATTGTTGTTGTTGGGAATACATAAAAAGTCAAAAAGTACAGGGCGGATTGGAAGTTTTAAATCAAACTATGTGGGCATTCCCTGGATTGACATGTTTTTAACCATGTGACTTATTGCAAACAAAGCCAACAACTTCGTGTAGTATGGTTTACCTGTTTTCGACTGAAAATCAAGTAACTGTAGAGAAACAGCCAAGCAAAGTTTAAGGAGAAAAGAAATGGTTATTATTACCTAAATACCGCAGAAACCTAACTTTTTTTTTCGGATTCTGGCATCTTACTTTTAGTATTTCTTATGTCTACCCAGCGTCAGGTACAAAATATAGTCGAGAACCAATTCAAAAGGTGTTTGGGGATGTGTTGACAAAGCACATTAAAGAAGCCATGAGAGATTAATGAGAAAAGCCTGGCAACCAACATAAATGTGAATCTTAAAGTCTTCAATACACACATCAACATTAAAAAAGGAAAGTAAAAGGAACAGCAGGGATGATCAGGGATCAAAAAAGTAGATTATATAGGAGATAAGAAGTTGGCTGAAGTATTAAAATGAATATTTTGCACCTGTCTATACCAAGGAGATAGATGCTACCTAAGCCACAGTGACAGAAGAGAAGCTCTGTCAATAGAAAGGTTCAAAATTGATAACGAGGGAGTGTTGGATAGGCTAATGATACCCAAATCTGACAACAGACTGGGAATGGCTGAGATGCATCCAAAAATATTGAAGGAAGCCAGAGTCAAAATAGCAGGGGCACTAGCAATAATCTTTCAGTCTTCCCTAGATTCAGGGAAGGTGCCAGAAGACTGCAGGCTTGAAGTCTATGCATTCTTGTTCAGAAAAGGTTGTAAGAATAAGGCCATTTATTACATACCAGTTTAATTTTGGTAGTGGGGAAGCTTCTAGAAATAATTATGCAGGACAATATTGGTAGTCATATGAGAAAAGGTAAGCTACTTTCAAAAGTTGATTGGAGTCGACTGTTCGCAGGCAAAGGGATGACTGACCAGTGGGAGGCTTTCAAAAGTGAGATAACAGGAGTTCAGCAACATTATGTTCCTGTTAGAGTGAAGGATAAGGCTGGTAAGAT